CACCTTAGGTGTACGTGGCTGGCGCCTTAGCCGGTTGAGCTATAGGAGCCGAGCCGCAAAATGTTAAGGCTCTCCTTGGCCTCACTGCTCTTCAACTAATTAACCTCTCTGTAAATTCACCTTGATTACAAATTAAGTTTACATTTTATATATATATATTTTTAAGACAGTCTCAATCTGTTGCCTCAGACTGGAGTGCCATGGCATTAGTTTAGCTCACAACAACCTCAAACTCCTGGGTTCAAGTGATCCTCCTGCTTCAGCCTCCTGAGTAGTGAGGACTACAGGTGCTCACCACAATGCTTAGCTGATCTTTCTACTTTTAGTAGAAATGGGGTCTCACTCTTGCGCAGGCTGGTCTCGAACTCTAGCTTGAGCTCAAAGGATTCTCCCACTTCAGCCTCTCAGAGTGCTAGGATTAAGGTATGAGCTACCGTGCCTGGTCTTATCTTATATTTTTAAATTCTCAACACTGCTCTGGTCTTTGATCTGGTGCATTACTTTTAATATTCTTTCTATTACATTTATGCATTTGATTAAATGTGAAATTAATTTTTTTTCTATGTTGTTTCATTCTTCCATCATTATTCTCAACAAATCATCAATGTAAGAATTTGTAGTTTTGCAGTAATTAAATTAGGAAGATCCTGCTTAGGTATAAGATGATGATTTTTATTATTATCAAATCACTAAAAACCCATTTTGGTTTATACAATGTTCAGAAAAGATAATGTATTTTTAACTAAAATATCAAAAATTGTATACATCTTGTTGTGGTATTAGAGTCGATGCTAAATAAGGAGTATGTTTTCATAAGAAATAAAATTTAATATTATTCCAAAAACTCCATCATAGAATATTCTACTTTATATCATAACATACTATGGTTCTGAGAATAATTTTATTTTGCTTTTAAGCAACAATTTTTCATACGCAAGGCATATTTCAAGGTACTCTTGGGTAATAGGAATTAATCTCACACTACCTCTTAAGACTATAAAACTTAAGTTTCAATCTTCAGTTTGATTGTAAAAAAATTATCACTTTGATTAGTTAGGAAATAAAATGACCACTAAAATACATGTATTGGAATCTTTTTATGGATTTCTAAAATAATATTTAAGTATATTTGGTCTGATTTAATCATTAAATCCACACTAATCCTTTTTGGTGAAAAAGACAGTGGAATAGATTCTGGGATGTGATTATGGATGACCATCCAAATTCTCTAAGAATATATGTGGAAAAGAAGGACTGGCTAGAAAAAAGAAGTAGAAAAATCAGACACGTATTAATTTCCTTCTCTGTTTAGTTGCCTGGACAGCTAAACAGAAAATTAATGACTGATATTAATAAAAACTACCCTGAACTTTAATAATCAGAAATTTAATATCGAGATATATATATGGTATATAATTAAAAACAAGCTGAAAAAGCAGAGAATTATCACTTCCCTGATTTTTATTCTAGTATTTTCTTTTTTTTTTTTAAGACAGAGTCTCACTTGGTCAACCTTGGTAGAGTCCTGTGGCATCATAGCTGACAACAACATCAAACTTTTGGACTCAAGCAATACTCTTGCCTCAGCCCCCCAGTAGCTGAGACTATAGGATCCTGCCACAACGCCTGGCTATTTTTTAGAGATGGGGTCTCACTCTTGCTAAGGCTGGTCTTGAACCTGTGAGCTCAGGCAATCCACTCACCTCAGCCTTCCAGAGTGCTAGGATTACAGGTGTAAGCCACCACACCCAGCTTTATTCTAGTTTTTATAGTGAAACTATTATATGACCAAAATGAATTGCAATAACTTTGGGAGAAGTAAATCACAAACTAGGATTCATAAGAACTTTTACAGAAGTCCTAGGAATGGGGTGTTAAGTGTTAAGCCATATATTATTTAGTATAGTAATTTAGCTCTTCTTCTGCCATATTAATACCATATACCATTTTAGAGATTTTTCTTGGAAAGTTATATTCAGGAGAAAGAGTAAGCATTCTAAAAGTCTGAGCTATCTGTCACACAAACATTATTGTTAGTACTGCCTATATGGTGTACGTACAGTATTAGGTGGCTAGGTATTATTCTCTTTCAGTAGCTGTCTTGGGTATGTCAGCTTTTAGCTCAAGTACTTGTAAGATGTTACATGAAGATGTTCCTGGTAAAGGTGCTGACTGCTAATTTCCTTATATTTAAACAACAAGAAAAATGACATTATAAAATTATTCTAAAAGAATCTGAGTTAAGAGAAGTCTATTAACTCAGATTAAATACGTCTGCTTGCCAGATTACCTATAATGACACTCTATTTTCCGTGAAATCTGAAATTGAATCATCACATTCTACTCCTTGGATCCAGCTCATAATTTATACTGCTGACACATGAACAAAGGTCAGAAGACACAGCCAATGGAAAAGCTTCAAGTGAACTCTGTTGAAAAGATCCTTAGAAAATTATACACTTGTGTAAGAAATACTGATATTGAAAAGAAAGATTTTATTTTGTATTGGGGATAAAATATTAAATCAACTACAATGTTAGTCAGCATAGCTTGAGGGTCCCCTGCTTTGCCAAGTTAATCTTTAATTCACAAATGTGAGCATGAAGCCGCAGCTAGAAAAGAAAAAAAGAGGGGGAAGAAAGACACAAAGTAAAAAAGATGGAGATGAGAGGACAAACCAATCAGTTTTGGAATTACCAAGTCAGCAGAAATTTAGTTAAAAAAATCACCGAATGAAATCGTACATTTACTCTGAGAGAGTATCCTTTCACATTGCCTTCTAGGTGATCTCTGAGCTCCTCCAGCTTTCGATGGAGCTACATGTAAACATCAGAAAATGAATTGAAAAAGCAACTTGTTCTCTTTTCAGTTTTCCTTTTTCCTTTTAAAAATAAGATCATAGCATTAAACATTTCTCACTGCCTTTGGCAAACATTTGAAAACATCAAAGATCTTTGCATAACGTAAGAATGTATATTCAACAAACCTGTGACCATCAAGCCAACATTGTATTTTGTTTCATTATAGTATTTTTCTTCCCAGATCATTAGAGAAGATAATAACCACTATAGCCCTTCTTACAGTCCCCCAGAGATTCACTTTGATGATATGTATTTGGTAGAAATATGGAATAAAGATATTGAAAGATTATGAAATTTGCCTTTCTTTCCCAAACACACTTTTTGATTTAAGAGTACATCCATATTAATATAAATCAATTGAACTGAAAAATGTATCTTTTGTTCTTAAACATACGTATGTGTATATACATAATCATATTGTATATACACTTAAAAACAATAAATATTCTTTAATTGAAGTTCTATACATCCAAAAGCTGAACTTAAAGATAAATGCACACACTCACACTCATATATGATCCAGTTTACAGCAGACTATGCTGCAGTTATGGATGCCATTTTTGTCTTTATTTCACTATCAGTAATTTTCAAAAAGTTTTATTGTATTGCACCTCTCACTTGAATCTGAATCATAATCCATAGTCTAAATGATAATGGATATTTATTTTCCCTTACGGACAAAGATAAAATACACCTCACAGGTAGACAGTGAGGAATGTTACTGATAAAGCATCAGGTTACATAAATTTACATTTTTCTGAGTGACTAATTTTAGTTGACTAGTTTTTGAAATAGGCATACAATCAACAAATCCCATCCCCTGTGATAATCCTTAGTGAAAAAAACATTTTAATACCGTAGCTACCCAGTATAAAGCAATGTAGGAGAACACAGAGGATGGCTTTTCTGGAATAAAGGTCACAAACATACAAACACATCTTCATCCATGTGCGCTCATGTGTGCACACACACAGATAAATAAACAACAACAAAATAAAACTAAGAAGGCAGAAGAGGCAAGGAGAAGAGTGTAGAAATTAGCATTTTGTAAGTTTTTTTTTTTTTTGAGACAGAGTCTCACTATGTTGCCCTCATAGTAGAGTGCCGTGGCGTCACAGCTCACAGCAAACTCAAACTCCTGGGCTTAAGCAATTCTCTTGCCTCAGTCTCCCAAATAGCTGGGACTACAGGCGCCTGCCACAATGCCCAGCTATTTTTTGTTTCAGTTGTCATTATTGGTTTTTTTAGCTGGCCTGGGCCAGGTTTGAACCTGCCAGTCTCAGGGTATGTGTCTGGTGCTATAGGTGCCAAGCCAGCATTTCATAAATTGTTAAGTGGAAATAAATTGGAGGTATGTTAAATTTGAAATAACTCAATATTAGGGCTCAAGGTACTTAGTAAATTTGGGACATTCTAATACACTGAATTATCTGGCATTTTGATTAATTTAATGGTGACTATTACTGTAAGAACGAACAGGATTGGGATAGAAGAAAGTAGTTAATTTTTTGGGAAGATTCTTCTGCATATTTTGAGAATTAAGCAAATTTTCTAACTTGCATTTATGGTGGCAGCATTAAGAGTGATCAAAGACTATGTCTGTGTTTCATAAGGGGGATAACTTGTTTACCACTCATTGTTGAGTACCAAGATACATTGAACACATAGATATTTAGTGACTAGCAAACAAGACCATTAATCAGAAATCTTTAAACTTTATATTATTTACACAAATGGGCAAACATTTTAGATATATATTTTTGCTGATTGTTATGTTAATTATTTTAAAATTAAAAAAAAAAACAAAGGGGATTTAAGAGTGCTTAAACACTATTGGCTATCTGTGGGTCCATTATACTAGCATGACAGAAAATTCCTTTCTAATTCTTAAGAGTACACAAAGTGAATATGTGGTATTAACTCATAATTTTTTCCTGGAATGAACTACAAATGGTAATGACACTAACATTTAAATATCTTTTTAAAAAAAGGTAAAAGGGGAGGTAATACTCTGAAAATAAATATTAGTTCTCTGTGTAACAGGAACTTAACACAGTCAGTGACATCAATCAGTGGAACGGTTTACTCTAGAACCCCAAATTACAGGCACCTATAATAAGGCAGTTGCCCGTTCTCTTGTTTGTGGTGCCATTCAAAGCTAGTTATTTGGCAGCTTGCCTTCAGCTGGTTGCTCTATGTGTAGCTGAAACAAACAAAAAAAATAATATGACCCAACAGCCAATAAAAATATTGAAATAAAAAAAATGGGATGGTGAAAAATGGAAAAAGCCCCCTTCCTCCCCCCACCCTCCAAAAAGGAAGAAGTGTAGGCTATAGACAAAATCTTGCCAAAAAAATGTTAGAAACATATTTACTTTGAGGGATCCAACTCTACTAGAAACTCCTTTGCTTTCATCCGGCCGTCTAATTTGCTACAATAAGGGAAGATGGGTAAAAAAAGACAGAATAAAGAAAAAGTGAACTTAAAAATTTTTCTACACATTAGTAAGTAATACATGCAAAAACATCAATTGACTCTTTGAGTTGCCTCTTAGGAGGCCAAGGAGTTAACTAACCAGAGTCTGCATGACATGCTCTTTAAATAGGCTGGTCACTAATATTCAGTCTTTGTTAAGGCACTATTCCTGAGATGAGGAAATCAGCACTTACTTTTGGTTATCTTGGGGACTTCTGGTGAAGCAGTATCTGGAGTAGTGTTACATTTGCATTTGGCTTACAAAAAACAAAGAATTACAAATATACCTATGTACTTTTTTCTTTCAGTGTTTTAGTGTCTCTTCCATTGTACTATCAGAAACATCAAAGACATGATTAGAAACATGAATGTTCCCTAAGTGGAAGGATCAGTCCTGACAAGCATCATTCTTGATAGGTGACAGAGTGAAGTTCCTCTGCTTGCTGACCCAAGCATTGAGGGTGTTCAGCTGTCACCAAAATTCCCAATTAAACAATTGTGCTGCCCAACTAGAAAATTTTAATGCCAGACCAATGTTAGATATATTCACTACCTCAAAGCTTTCTGTCATTTCAGGTGAATTTTCCTCTTATGTAAGACAGAGGAAATGAAAATTAAGACTGCTATTTTAAAAACTTGTTTCACATCACTATATAAATGAACAAAGTAAAATTTTCAACACCGAGTGTTTTATTAGATAAGAACTCTAATAAAATCCTAATATTAAACAGAACTCTAATAAAATTCATTCTTTGTTTAAAGAGGGAGGCAATCCACATTCAAAAAGGAGAGTGGGAGGAGGAAACTTCAGACAAAGTGGTTTTACACTATGGATTTCTGTACTTGCAGAATGATGGTCTAGATTCAGACGAGAATATGTCAAGTTAGCTGTGATGCTCTTTGTTGTCTAAGAAGATAGAAGAAGTACTGTGAGACAATATTTCCAGTGTTAAAAGTACTCAGGAAAAAATAAGGAACCTGATCATGCTACAGAATTTTATTTTCTTAAAGCAGAATATAGAATATCCCTTTTAGGACATCTCTGATAGCATATGGAGATTTCTGAGGAATAATACTGAGAAAACTGAATTTTCACTTTGAAAAAAGCATCTTGGTATGTAAGAATTGCATTGACTTTTGGCTTTACTTGATATAAATTGCTTTAACTAATTTGTCAACATTAAGTAAATGTTATGACCAAAAGATAATCATCAATTCTCATTCCTAGTAGAATCGAACTGTCAAATTTAGAAACAATGGATCCTCATTAGATCTTTAACACTCTGTAAGACAGGGCTTCCCCATACAGAATAAATTCAGAGTCAGTTATAATATCTACTTGAGTACTCTCTTGTGCTATGAACATCTTTATATCAAAAGCTGTTTCCCATCTTACATGGAGGCTTAATATCTGGATTATAAAGACAGAACTTGTAGTTTCCTCAAACTTTTCAAAACTGTAAAGATGTACAGAAAATGTTCAGCAACAAGTGCACAACATTTTCCACATTGTATTTTATTTCTAAAATAAAATTACATTAAGTCCAGCAACATAAAGTATCTTCTTTAAGGTTACACAGCAAGTTAATGACAAATCTAGGAACAAACCCCCAGTTCCTGATTTCTAGTTTAACACCATAGTCCTTTAATAGGCCTTGGAATAAATGGTCTAGAAAAAAAACTGCTGCTTATAAGAAAAAAAATTGCTGCTTATGTACATGTAAATATGACTATCTATCTATCTTATAGACAAAAGGAAGAAATTTTATAGAAGAAATTTTATATTACTATACACAGAAGACATTTTTCCTATATCATTCAATTCCAAATGCAAGTGCAAGTATAGAAACTTAAAGAGAGAATTATAAGAAGAAAAAAGATAGTCACCACTAAACTCCAAATATAAAAAAATAAAATGTAAGAGTAACTTAAATAGACACGTTGGGAGCAGACTGCATATTAATGCTTGCTATCTATTTCTTATATATAAATCTGCCTTTGAAACTATTTTAAGAGGAAAACTTTAGAAAACCAATGTAGTTTTGAAAGCCAAAAATGACTGCAATTCAAATTTCACATGATTTTTTTTGTGGTTCCTAAAACAGATCATTATTCCTAGCTGAAAAATGTCAGAAAGAATTGAAGATGTCTACATAAACTAAAATCTAAGAAAGAGAATAAAATGAAAACAACAAATTTAAAAATGTAATGTTCTAATTTATTTGTCCTCCCTTATTCACCAATTATGATAGAGTAGTACAGATAAAAATACACAGCTAATCCAGATTCCTGATTATAATTTTTTTGATAAGAATGTAAAATAAATCATAAGAGATTAGCACTTGGATAAAAAATTAATTTATTCTTCATGATTGTTGCAAGAACCTCAGCTACATCATTAGCTACTTTCATACACACATTTCTCTGAGGTAAAACATTCTTTGTTTTAACTATGGGATGTGAAACTGTAAATGTTTAC